CTCTTTTAACTATGTAAGAGTTTTATGAAATGCAAATTAACGTACAGTGACAAGAAGCAGATCAGGTGCTGCCTGGGGATGGGGGTGAGGAGAGGCGGGGTTAAAAATACAACTACCAGGGGCGCCTGGGTGGCTCAGTTGGTTAAGCGACTGCCTCCGGCTCGGGTCATGATCCTGGAGTCCCGGGATCGAGTCCCGCATCGGGCTCCCTGCTCGGTGGGGAGTCTGCTTCTCCCTCTGATCCTCCCCCTCTCATGCTCTCTGTCTCCCATTCTCTCTCTCAGATAAATAAATAAAAAATCTTAAAAAAAAAAAAAAAATACAACTACCATATGGGGGCGCCTGGGTGGCTCAGTCAGTTAAGCATCTGCCTTTGGTTCAGGTCATGATCTCAGGGTCCTGAGACTGAGCTCTGTGCTCTGGGCTCTGTGCTCAACAGGGGAGACTGCTTGAGATTCTCTCTCTCCCTCGGCCCCTCCCACCCCTCAAATAAATAAATAAAATCTTAAAAAAAAAATACATCTACCATATGATCCAGCCATTTCATTCCTAGGTATTCACCCAAGAGAAAAGACAACATATGTCCACACAAAGACTTGCACACAAATGTTCACAGCAGTTTTATTTGTAATAGCCAAAAACCGGGAACAGCCCAAATGCCCATCAACAGGTGAATGGATAACAGTGGTGTATCCATACAATGGAATACTACCCAGTAATAAAAAGGAATGAACTATTAGTCACATGCAACAATATTGATATAACTTTAAATAATTACATGAAATTATGTGAAAGGAGACAGACAAAAAGAGCACATACAATATGATTCCATTGACCTAAATCTCTAGAAAATGCAAATGAACGTATAGTGACAAGAATCACATGCTTCCTGGGGATAGGGGTGAGGAGAGGTGGGATTTCAAAGGGAAACAATGTTTTGGGAGTTACGGAGATGTTCATTATCTTGATTGTGGTGACGGTTTTGTGGGTGCATACACAGCGCACCAAACATATCCAACTGTATATTCTAAATATGCGCACTTTATCGTATGTCAGTTATAGCTATGTAGTTATACCTCAGTAAAGCTCAGTAGAGTTCAACAAAGCTGTTTTAAAATTTTTTTTAAGGCACAACATCCCAAATCAGGATGCACTTCAACCTGCCACACAGTCTTAACAAAGTAAAACACAGTCTGTAGAAAAGTCGCAGGCGCAGTAAAGATATGCGCTAAGAACTCGTGATACCCACCTCAGCGACTTGCTTTGTTAATTTCCCTGCACTCCCAGGCTTTGGGGTTGAACTCGACTCTGCTCTTTTCTGGTGGGCTGTAGTCTCCAAGTTAACTAAGGGCTTCTCCCTAAATGAATTTTGTGAACATAGAGTTAACAAATAACACTATTCCACAATTATTGGAAATTCTCTGTATTACTTCAGATTTGTGATTTTCAGATCTCTTTCGATTTTGAGACCCTAGGAAACATCCTCCCCAAAGCTTGTTTCCATGATCATGCCATTAGCTGCCATGCAAAATAATTGCCGTTTACTGCTTTTCAGATGACTGTTAAACTGCTAATGATAGCAATGAGTAGCTTTCAGGATTTTTTTTTTTTTTATTGCTGATAATCTTTCTTACATGTTTATCAAAATGACACTTCCACATAACTTTTTAAAAAATGGTAACAGTACATAATGGCTTCTAATGAAATGCAACAGGCCTCTACTCCCTACCTCTCTCTGCCCATCCTACTGGGAGAGGCAAGCCCCTTGAACTCTTGAGCTGTTTCTTCCAACAACTAGCTCCATATTTCTGAGAAATCTCATTAAGCCTCAATACTGTAACTGCAAGTATCATGAAAGAAATCAATATATTTTGTCCCTTGAACCAAAACGTTGTTAAGAGAGGGCTGAAACCAAAGGCAGGACTATGCTTTGGGATAATATAGTGAAATATATCGGGGTCAAAAATGCCTGGGTTTGGGGCGCCTGGCTGGCTCAGTCAGTAGAGTGGTGGAGTGTGAGACTCTTGATCTCGGGGTTATGACTGCAAGCCTCACGTTGGATGTGGAGATTACTTTAAAAAAAAAAAGACCTGGGTTTCAACCCTAGCTCTGATCCTTGCTGTCCAACCTTGAGCTAGTAAATGAATGTGTTTGAACATCAGTTTGATTATCTATAAAATAGAGATGAGAGTATTTGTCTCGCAGAGTTGTCAGGAGGGTTAAAGGAGCGAGCATACATACACACCTGGTACGTTACCAACCGAAAAATGGCATTTTCTTTGCCTTTCCTCCATGCTTTACCTCTTCTCCAAAGTATAGTGTATGGGGGTGGAGTATAGCTCTTTGGGGAACGTTCAGACCCTCAAAATTTTAAAAAGAAGCAAACTGTGTTTTTAATGAAAGTGAATTGAGGAAATTTGCAAGATCACATCATTCATTAGTGAGACCAAGCGGCCATGTGGTAAGTGCCAGTTCTTAGGGTTCTGGAGGTTCTTGTGGCTAGAAACTGCTGCCGGGCAGGTCTGGTCAGTGGTCCCCAGGCCTGGTGGTCATCTATTATCCGGGGCACACCAGCCTTCCCTTCACTGGTTGGGGGTGGGGGGGTGGGGGTGTAAGCTGGTTCCTATGGAAAGCACCTCTGGATTTGCTTTACAGAAGTGCCAGCAAAATCGGTTCTTCAAAGGCTTCCCCACCCTAAGACCCAGTCCTTCCATACAGAGACTCTTACCGCTCCTGGACGCTTCTGCTCAGCTCTGAAGTTCCCTGCTGCCACTCCTTGGGAGAGAGCTGGAACAACGCTTGAGATGATTCTTCTAGTGGGGGGTGGGGAGGAGGATGCTATTTAAACCACAACTGCCTCCTACAGGGAATGAAATCTGTGAAGGGAGAGTTGGAGCAAACCCCTTGACATCTATGTGAAGGTGGGCTCAGAGCTCCAGTCGAGAACCGTGCCTCGCCTGGTCGGCCCTCAATCAGTTTTTGGGTAAATGAAGGGGATTGTGGGACTAGATGCTGGAGGGGTCTCAGTTCCCCTGGGAAGGAGAGACTCGGGAACTCCCAGGGATAAAATCGAGAGGATGAAGTGAGATCCCAGAAACCCGGAGGCTAAACCTGACAACAGAAGCTTCTGTGGCCCGGGCGCCTGCGTGGCTCAGTTGGTTGAGCGACTGCCTTCGGCTCAGGTCATGGTCCCGGGGTCCTGGGATCGAGTCCCGCCTCGGGCTCCCTGCTCGGCGGGGAGCCTGCTTCTCCCTCTCCCACTCCCCCTGCTTGTGTTCCCTCTCTCGCTGTGTCTCTCTCTGTCAAATAAATAAATAAAATCTTTAAAAAAAAAAAAAAAGAAGAAGAAGCTTCTGGGGCCCTAGAGTCCTAGAGCCATTGTCAACTCTGTTGGCGAGCTGCCACCTCCGCTTCCATTTCCACCCGAAAGAGGGTCGGAGGGTAGAGATACCCGAGAGGCGCACTGGACGCCTGGCTCCCTTTGACTGAATTACCAACAAAAGATCATTCCCAAGTATGCGCTCATTCCGGTTAACGGGCATTTTGCACGACCAACACAGAGCTACGAGGAGCCTTGAGGGGATCTCTGGTGCCTTTTCTGGGGGTCCGACGGCCCGCTGGGACCTGAGAGCCCCCCTAGTAGGGCCTCCGTGCTCGGTGGAGAGGAGCCCGGTTCCTGCGGCCGGGCCGACGCGGCACAGCTGACCCGCCGGGGGCTGGTGGCCGGTCCCCAGGCCGCGTACCTGCGGCTCGCGGGGCGGGTTTGGGGCGCGGCCGGGGGAAGCGAGAGAGGCGGCGCCTGCTGTCTTCGTGGGCGGCCGGGCTCAGGCCCATCCCGCCGCTGCTGCGGGAGGAGCCGAAGGCGGGGGTGGAGGACGCTGGCGCAGCGCGGTGAGGCCCTGCCGAGCGCGGAGGGGCGCCAGGCGGGGAACCCGGGGCGCGCAGCAAACGGCGGGGGCGCGCGGGCGCTGTGCGCACGGCCGAGGGAACGGAGAGGGCGCTCAGGGGGGCGCTTAGAGGCCCAGGAAAGGCGGCGGCCGAGGTCATCCCGGGGGTGGAAGGCAACGCAGAACAGTAGGCACGGAGGCCGGAGGCGCGGTCCGACGTGGCTGCAGAAGCCAGACGGAGCCGACCGAGGAGCGACAAACGCGTTGATGCCAGATTAGGAGGGCCTGGGGAGGCACGCTCAGGAGTTAAGATCTTGAGAGATTCAAAGTTTTTATTTGAATTATTTGTATGACTTAAATTATACATTTTGTAACTAATTATATATAACATATAATATATACAAAAGAACACATGGAGGGGCGCCTGGGTGGCTCAGTCGGTTAGGCGTGGGACTCCTGATAACGGCTCAGGTCTTGATATCAGGGTCGTGAGTTCTAGCCCAGGGATGGCTCCACGCTGGGCGCTGAAGCTACTTTAAAAAACAAAAACACATGGAATACATGTAGTTGCGAAGCATAATAAAATTAATGCCCATGAATACACCAGTCTACTTAAGAACGGGAACATACCTAGCACAGATGCTCCTACCTGTGTTTTCCTCCCTTGTCCCATCCCCCTGCCGCCCTCTGCCGTAGGTAACCTCTCCCACTCTTGTGTCTATTATGCCCTTGCTGCTTTTTTTTTTAAAGATTTTATTTATTTATTTGAGAGAGAATGAGAGCGAGCATATGAGAGGGGGGAGGGTCAGAGGGAGAAGCAGACTCCCTGCCGAGCAGGGAGCCTGATGCGGGACTCGATCCCAGGACTCCAGGATCATGACCTGAGCTGAAGGCAGTTGCTTAACCAACTGAGCCACCCAGGCGCCCTACCCTCTGGCTCTCTACAGAAAATGTTTGCCAACCTCTAATCCTATAGGTTTCTCCTCCACCTCTTTTCTTCCTCATAACTTTTTAATTGAAGAAACAGGGACCCTGGCTCGGGTAGCACACATACTAAAGTTGGAATGATACAGAAACAATTAGCATGGCCTCTGCGCAAGAATGACACGCAAATTTGTGAAGCAGTCTATATTTAAAGAAAAAAAAAGAACCAGGGTTATTGGTCTTGTAAAGTCTCCCGACAGTCTGAATTTTGCTGCTGTTGTTCAACATGATCATTCATGCCCTACAGTCCTACACACGGGAACCCAAGTACAGAGACTCAATCAAATCAGATTGGGCGACTTTTTCTTCAGGAGGATTCCATTAGTGGTGATGTGTTCTTCCATCAGGAAGTAAATATGTCCGTTTCTGTTTCTTTCTGCGGTGTCACCAACATTGATGACTAGGGCTAAACTGTATTGGGTTTGGGTAACCGAAAATGATTGGAAAATGCCAGGAACCCAGCAGGAAAGAGAGAGTCAACCTACATGGTCAAGAGCTGGGGTGGGAGGGGGCGGGGGAATCAAGCTACGTCAAGTTTTTGGTTGAGATTCTTCCATAAACTTATGTTCCATGGGGAGGGAAGAAGGTTCCTGGGATAAACATCAAAGGAATGAGAAGTGTTGTGTTAGTCTCCTGAGGTTATGGGTGATGCCTGCTCTTCCCCCATTTTACAATATTTCTGTCCAGATGGTTCAATCTCTGTGGGGCGGGGGTGGGGACATAAATAAAAAGCCGCTGGCTTTGTCCTATGGGTTTTCCCCTCCAAGTGTATGTCATCTCTCTCCAATGAGACTGGAAGCTCCTTGAGAGCAAGAGTGATTGCCCCTCCCCGTAATGACCACAGCGCACAAAAACTCCCTCACAGGGCAGGAGAGCACCCGAATAAGTTGAAACTGTCTTCTCCAGAGTGTATTAACATGCTTTCAGGCAATAACACCTTCATTCCTTCAACAGATGCTGATTGAAAGACAATTATAAGAGAAGATTATAAATAATTATATGCCAACAAATTGGGCAATCTGGAAGACAGTGATAAATTCCTAGAAACATACAAATTAACAAATACTGACTGAACATCCCCTGTCCATGTCAATTCCTGCACCCTCGCCCTCCTCCAAAATGGTCCTGACTGGAATTAGCCAGCTCCCCCCTCCTCCAGATTATACCCGCAGCTTCTCTGTTTTTCCGTTAGTGCCCCAGACTCTTCCCAATCCTTTGGTTCAAGATGCTGGAGGCTTTTTTCTTTTCTTTTTTTGGCCCCTGTTCCTCATCTTTTTTATCCAGCCAGATGTGCAGTTCTGTTGATCCTTCCTGTCCAGAATTTCTGCTCATTATCCTACCCTCTGCTCCAAGATGGTGCAAAACTGGTCCCAAGAGAAAGAGGATCCATGAGACTCTGCAGTGACCTAGAAGGGAACCAGATAGAAGAAGGGGGTGAGATGTAGACCAAAGTAGGTGAATCTGGGCATTAGTCTCTCCCTAGGCCCAGAGTTACACCATTCAGGAGCAGGGATAGGGAAAGGAGTGCTGGATCAAAGAATGGGGGAGAGTAGGGCACCCTGACATCCCCTACCACAGTTTATGATTCCCCGGCTACTAATCAGTTACTCAGAGATAAATAGCTAAATTTGCCTCAATGATGATCTTCGGCCCGTGGGAAGAGCACGTGCTTAGTGTGGGCTTGGGCCAGGACTCCACTCCTCTGGGGGGAGACAGAAGGAGCTGGTGGCCGGATGGGAGCCAGAAACCACAGCTCCTTACAGTCATTCATTCTTTAAATACATTTTGAGCACTTGCTCGGTATCAGGCATTGCTTGGTACTGAGGGTGTAAGTATAAATTTGCCCTCATGGAATTTATAGTCAGGAAGTAGGGGGAGGGAGAGACAAACATTAGACAATTCCTCAATATATAATGACCAGTTATGATAAGCACTCAGAGGGACAAGCCCAGGTCTAGGGAGCTGGGATGGGGTGGGGGCACCATCCTGGGGCAGGGGGATGCCCCCCTCCTGTCAGTATCAGGGTCATCATCAGCCCTTTCCCCTTTCCCACATGTTCCCCTCCCTCTGGCTCAAGAAGAGGGATTTGCCCTCTCCCACCCCTGGATGGACCAACAGACACTAAGGCCCTCTCTTCTTCTGCAGCCTCCCATATTCTACAAGCCCAACCAGGTCCCTCCCAGCTGTCAAAACCCAGGGAAAGGAGAAATGAAATGCATCACCTTCTTCCTTCTGCTGCCTCCACTGTGGGCCCTCGGCAGCCCCCACTCCTGACCCCTGCAACGGTCTTGGGGTTCCAGGGTGAGACCAGCTATAGCTATTCCTCTGAATTGTGCTCTGCCCCCCAAAATCAGATGTGGAAATCCTCACCCCCAGTAACTAGAATGAGATTGTATTTGGACATAAAGCCTTTTTTAAAAGGGTAATTTAGGTAAAATGAGTTCACAAGGGTTGAATTCCTGATGACTGGTCCACTTAAAAGAGATTCGGACACAAACACACAGATCAAGAGGCAACCCTCCGCAAGCCTCAGGGAAAAAAAAAATCCTTGCAGACACCTTGATCTTGGGCTTCTAGCTTCCAGAACCATGAGAAAATGAACATCTGTGTTTAAGCAGCCCAGTCTGTGCTATTTTGCTATGCCACCCTCCTTCCTCGATTCAGAGCGGGGGACTGAGGCCGGGTTGGGGAGTAGGGGAGAGCACATTTGCCTCAGGCCAAAAGATGGGCGCCGTGAGCCTGGGACCAGGACCCAGGCCTGCCTCCCAGGGGCAGGGCCCCCTGCCTTGCCCAAAGGAATTCTCCACCTTGGTTTCTCCTCCACATTGTGTATCTAGATTATTCTGTCTGAACACACTTCTGATCGAATTTCCCCACACGAAGAACCTGCCACAGCCAAATCTGAGCAAACTTCCTGGCTCTGCACCCCAAGCCCTGCCAGTTAAGGTCTAGTCAGTGAGTGCTTCTCAAACATCCACATGCATCAGAATTACCTGGGGAGTATGCAAAAATGCAGATTCCTGGACCCGGCCACCAGAGAGATTCCTCTTCAGTAGGAGGGGGAAGGGGATGGGGGCGGCAGAAGGACGTATTTCTAACAAGCTTCCAGACCACGCCGATGCCACACTAGAGATGCTCTGGCTCAGCTGCCTTTCCCCAGAGCCGCCCCTGCACCTGCCCCGCGGTCAGAGCAGCCTTACTCTTCCCTCAGCTCCCCAGGCCCTGGAGCCTTTGCCCAGCCTGGCGTGCTGCCAGGATCTCCCTGCCGCCAAGTCCGACAGGGTGCTCAGATCCTGGGACCTCCCAAATCAGGATAAAGTTGAAGGGTTGTGCTGCCTTTTAAAGGGAAGGCTTTATTGGAATTTGAACCAGGACTGGAGCAACTCTAGTCCAAAGAATCCTGGGGGATCATGATTAAAAGGCAGATACCTGGGCTCACCCCCAGACACAGGCCTCCCGTGGAGACACTCTTCTGGAGTCACCCTCTCAATACACAGACGAGCAAAGGGAGTCACAGAGAGGGCAACTGACTTGGCCCAGGGCACACAGCACGTTAGCGCAGAAGCTGAGCAAGAAGCCAGGCCTCCTTCGGTGTGGAGTGTACTGCCCACTGCACCTCGCTGCTGCTTCTGAGCCTCCAGGGGGCGCTCCTCTCCTCCAGCCCATTTCCCACCATCCTCCACCTTCTTTCTGGTGACCGCAGCTGGGCCCTGGCATTTGGAGCTAAAGCTGAAATGGAGCCCCAGGGGACTATAAATCATGCAAAAGGGAGAAAAGTGGGGGAACGGGCAGGGAAACGAGGGGAAGAGATGAAAACCTCTGGGGGTCGGGGAGGGGAGTCTGGCGTGAGAAGCCACTCAGTGATGTCCAAGGAGCTGGGGCGGGGCTTCTCCTGGGACCTGCCCACATGTGCCACCGCCCCAGCCTCTGACTGGGGAGGGCTCCAATGGGAGCCCGGGAAACCACAAACCCTCTGCCCTCTCTCTCTGCAACAGCTCGGTGCTTCACATCCCAGTGCAGGTGGGGGCAGGGCGCTGGTTAGCTAGGTGCTTAGTTCAGGCTTCTTGCTCCTGGACTCGGATTTCTGCCGACAGCCCCAATCCAGCTGGTAGGACTGGATCTGGGGTGTGGACCAGGGGTGGACCGCTGCCCAGACCTCCCTCTCGGGCCTGCTGCAAGGGGTACGGGGACCCTGCTGGGCGCAGGTGAGGCTAACAGCTGGGGGAGCTGCCCTGGCACCTCAGTTCCTGGCTGGGAAAGGCAAGTCCGACCAGTGGCGGCAGGGCCAGGGCTCCTGGAATCTGGATCTGCATGCCGAGTTGGAGGCACTCCACCCCCATGTCACCCGGAGAAAAACTGGACCCACTTCCTGACCCCTTCATCCTGCAGCCGCCAGTCTTCCACCCGGTGAGCAGGCACTCTGGTCTGGAATCTCCAGGTCTCAGGCCCCCCACCCCCCGACTCCAGCTGGACCCAGGCTCCCAGGTGGTGGGTGGAGAGGCCTTCGGTCTTGGGCCCTGTTCCCCCAGCACCTGCTCATGAACTCTGGAAGGCCCTCCTGAGCTTAGCAAAGTGGCTGACCAGCTAATTCCCACTTGGATGAGAATGATGGGGTTCACAGGGTCCTTACATTTTAAAAGTAATAGAACCTGAAGTCAGTGCTGTGCTCCTACTGTGTGATGGGGGGCTAGGCTAGGAGGACCTGGGGCTGCTGAGTAGTATTGTTGTGGGGGCACTGAGTACCTAGGGTAGACTCATCCCCAGCCTGGAAGAGAGTCAGATTGTACCTCCAACTCGGGAATGGGTGTCCCCCTCACGTCCTCCTCCTGCTCAGTGCTCACATGGATTTTCTGAAGTCTGGCCTTGCTTTACAGGAGGCTGAATGCTCAGGACACTCTGCCCTCCCATTAATGAATGCTAACTATCACTTTCTCTTGACTTGGCCCCCTCCCCCTGGGAGAGGTGCATCAGCTCAGTAATTATTACAGGCCAGGCCTGGAGCCTGGGAAGTGGGAGGGGCTGAGGTGCTCAGTCTGGCTAAGCTGTGGGCCCTCTGACAGCCGGGAGCTCCAGTACCTCCCCGGGGGCCTGAGTAATGGGGTGAAGCAGCTCCCCAGGTTACAACCCCTCCTTGCTTTGCAGGCTGCCGAGCTCCCACCTGGAGGGCAGCACTGTTGGGGCTCAGCATCTTCTAGATGGTTCGGAGAATATGTGAAAGCCAGTCTTGTGTTATGCCGACGTGTACCTGGGACATGTTCACATTCGTTCTGCAAACACCTATTCAGAGCCCACGCTGTGCCAGGCCAGGCGCTGAGCCCAGAAGGGAAAGACAGGGCTTCAGCTCCGAGTGGCCTGAGCCTCCACGGAAGTAGCCAGCCCCGTGGTCTCCCTGTAAGCCCGCCAACGGCCAAGCTAGCCATACGAGTGAAGTGTTCTGGGAACACAGGGGAGAGAAGGAAAAACTCAGTCACCATAGTGGACAGTGCTTGGAGAAGGTGTCAGAGAACCCTGAAAGTCAACTTGGATCTCACAGGGCCAAGGGAGAGCAGAGGAAGCGGCCCCGAAAGGCAGGGAGTTGTAAACGTGTGTGTTGTGTGTTAGGAATTCTGCATAGCTTCTAAGTGGGGAAAGGTGAGCCTGGGCAGGTAAGCCGGGCCATTGTTGGGTCTCTCTCCAGGCATCCTTGTCCAGCCTTTCTGCCCGCCCCCCAGTTCCTGGGCTCGAGCCAGTAAACAGTCCTCAGGATCTCGATACCAGGCTTCTGGAGGCCAGGGCAAAGTCTCACTGAGGACACTCCTGTGCTCAAGGAGCTGGGGAGAGGGGCAGGGCTGGTGCTGCAAGAGGGCGATGGAGCTGAACTTGGCTTCTCCAGGGCAATGTGGCTTTGACATGTGAGGGTCCCGGAAAGGTGAGAAGGTGGAAGAGAACACTAATTTTTCCCCCATAAGGATGTTTTCTGTTTGGGGCAGGAGAGTGGAATTTTCTTGTCCTTCTCTCCCCACCCACCCACCTGACATGGGGCTCCCTTGTAAGACCCATTCTCCAGCTCCATGTGGCTAGCTTTCTCCCCTTGTTCAGGTGCTTCCTTATGTCACGACAATTTTCGGTGGCCTGCGTGCAGGCAAGATGGTCATGCTACAGGGAGCGGTCCCTCTAGAGGCACGCAGGTAAGGGGGTGGTCCACGGGGCTTCTGGGGCTCAGACCCAGAGGCATCGAGCTGGAGGCTCCTCTCTGCCCTTGGGGTCTCGGGGTTTCCGACCAGGGGTGCCCCTTCGAGAGCACCTCTCACCAGGTTCCAGGTGGACTTTCAGTGCGGCTGCAGCCTGCATCCCCGGCCGGATATCGCCATCCACTTCAACCCTCGCTTCCACACCACCAAGCCCCACGTCATCTGCAACACCCTGCACTTGGAGCGCTGGCAAGCCGAGGCCCGGTGGCCCCACCTGCCCCTGCAGAGAGGAGCCTACTTCCTCATCCTCTTTCTCTTTGGAAACGAGGAAATGAAGGTGAGGGGAAGGGATGGGCAGCATCGTCTAGAACCTGCATCCTTCCCCTCTTCCTTCCTTCCACCGCGTTCCCCACGTCACTGTGAGGAGGGGCGTCACTGGGAGGACTTGAGACCCGAGAGGACCGAGCAGCTGCCGAGCCCCGTTCCAAGCTGCCCTGGGCCCACATGGCCTGGGACCCATGGCGGCAAGAAAGCTCCCTCGTGCCTGGCCCTGGGGAGGGCACCACCGCCACATTGCGAGCAAGCTCTTCAAGAGCGCCTGCAATACGATGGGCTCTTTTCTAGCCCCTAAGTGCCCGCTCGTTAGATCCTCGCGAGGTGGGTACTCACATCCTCCCCATCTCAGGGAGGTAGAGGGCGCAGGGACCCCGAACCCCATTTCAAGGCTTTCTCCACAGATGGGAACTCCTGCCAGAAAGATGCCAGGACCCTGACCTCTCCGGGGGAAAGGGGAGCCAATGGGAACCAGCAGTGGAGGGAGGGCCCTGTGGTGGAGGAGTAGTCCGGCCTCCTGAAACCCCATTTCTTCACCTGGGGCTCGGGCTGCTGAGGGATGACGAAGGGAAGTGCTGTGTCAGGGGCAGAGGGCCAGTGAAAGGGGCCTTGGTTCCCAGGCCAGCTGTGCAAACTTGGGAAGGTCATGGAAGCTCCCCGCGCCGTGGGCACATCATCTGTCAAACGTGCCCATCTCTCAGAGTGGGTGTGAAGGTAAACGAGGGACGTCTCGGGTAAGAGCACCCAGCGAGGCCAGGCACGTTAGCGCAGACTCAGCGTGCATCAGGTGCTGCTGAGCTGTCCGTCTGTCTATCTCTCCAGGTGAGTGTGAACGGACAACACTTTCTTCATTACTGCTACCGGCTCCCGCTGTCCCGTGTGGACACCCTGGCCATATTTGGCGACATCCTGGTGGAGGCCGTGGGATTCCTGAACATCAACGTGAGTTCCCTGAGTGACAATGGCCCCTGACCTCCCCTGGTGTCTGGATGGGCCCAGGACCCCCCCTCCCCCACCCTCGCTGCCCCAGGCAGGCCCTGTCACACCTGTCATAACCAAGGTGGAAGGGATCCATCAGGTGTGGGATACGAGTGGGGTTGAGAAGGTGCCCCCGGAAGGGGACCCGAGAACAATGGCCAGGAGGTGATCCACTTGGACCCTTGGAACCATGGGACCCAAGGAGCAGCTAGCTCTGTCCTTTGCCCCCGAGGAGCTTATGAAAAATGTAGATTTCTAGGACCCGCCGCCAGACCTTCTGACTCAGTCAGTCTGAGGTGGGGCCTAGGAATCAGCATGTTCAAATGCCGGGTTTGAGAACCACCCACAAGGCCTACAGGGAGAATGAGGAGCTACCAAAGCCAACCTCTGCCCACCTCCTGGGCATAGGCAGGGTAGGCAGGAGCCCAGCAAATGACTCGCAGAGCCTGCAGGGGGCCTGAATCCCCCGTGTTGCCTCCTCTTTCCTGACAGCCATTTGCGGAGGGCAGCAGCGAGTATCCAGCTGGATACGTGAGTCTCTGGCGAGCAAGCTGGCCCTGGTGGTTCCGGCCACCCTAGCTGAGCCCCCGGTGCTCCCAGCTCCCCCAGCTTGACCTGCCACTCGCCGGGCTGCTGTCCAAGTTGACAAAAGCCAGCTTCCCTCACTGTGCACTTGCCATGGATACTGCCCGCCCCCCCCATGGCTGGCAAGCCTGGATTCAGCTTTCCCAACCCCAGCAGGGGCCCGCTTGGGAAGATGGACTGGGTGGGTTGGTACCCAGCATGGGCAGAGCCCCAGGACTCCTATCAGAAGATCCCGCCAGGTTGGAGCCTTCTGTCCTCAGCAACCGGGCGAGGCAGCTGGGGTCGGCCTGTAGGACAGAGAGGGAGATGAGGACCGAGGCCACACAATAAGTGGATGACGGACCCTCTGTCCAGTTCTTCTCCATTCTTCCAGAGCTAGTGTCCGTCTGAATCCAAGAGGGCCCCCCCAGGGGCTCTAATCACTCACCTGTGTTGTCTTTGAGAGAGACAAACCCCAGATACCCCCAATTCTTCATAATAATACTGAGAGGCTCTTTCGCTGAGCGAACACCGCATGGCTTCCATGTCTCCTTTCTCTTTCTTTCTCCCCTCGACAGCCTTTCCTGCTGAAGAGCCCCAGCCTGGTGAGTGACCTCCCTCCTGGGTCACCTGGTGGAGGTGTCGTCCCCGGGGGGCAACCCCACCTGGTGGGAAATGCCCTCAGCATCAAGGTTCCCCCTTCCCTAATAGAAACCTCCAGCTTCGTTTTACCTTTCCTCCATTTATTCTGCAAACAACTATTTGATACTCTTCTGTGCCAGGCCCAGTGCCAGCTCTAGGATAGAGGGACCAGCCAGCCCCAGCCCCCCAGTGGCTCGCAGGCTGGTGGGGAGACAGACCAGCGAACAGGCTGTTACAGTTCAGGATGCAGCAATGGGGGACATATCTGGTGCTCACGCCCCGGGAAGTGGGGCCGGCCACTGAGCTCAGCCCCGAAAGGCCAAGGAGAGCCGAGGCCTGCAGTAGATGTTTAATAAATGAGCAGACTGAGTGTCCTCCCGGCTGCAGGCCTAGAGGCAGACTTACCACCCTCAGGGCTCCCCTTCTCAGTCATTTCCCATCTTCCTACAGGAGGTGCCCTGCTCGCGTGCCCTTCCCCGGGGTCTCTGGCCCGGACAGGTCATCGTACTGCGGGGGCTGGTCTTGCCGGAGCCAAAGGAGTAAGTATCCAGATGGAAGGGAGGGAGAAGCATCTCAGAGTGGAGCATGAGTTCTACAAGTACCCCCTCTTTCATCTCCAACACCACTGCCCCATCGTGGAGCTTGTGGTTGGGAGGGTGCTCATTGCCAGTCCCAACCACTGAGCACTGGACGGTGCTCGGTGCTCAGGCTCCCCCTGCGGCCCCAACAGCCCCAATTCTGGGAGTACCTTCCCTGCCTGTCCATCTGGTCAGGCCAACTAGCCTCTCATCACAGGTGTCGCTGGGGCCTCCAGAAAGGTCCCTTAAGGGCTCAGGCTGAGATCCAGAGAGAGAATTCGACCTCCCAGGGTGACAGAGGGCAGTGGTTTAGGAAACACAGCCAGGCAGCCCCAAAGAGGAGGCCCAGTGCTGGGCAGTGGGGGCTTGGAGTCGCACCCCAACTACACGGAAGCTGCCTAACCTCTCCCACAGGGGGCTCTCCTGCTCCACTCCCCAAACCTGCAGGCTCCAAGCCACTTTCACTTTCTTTTTCCTTTTTTCCTCTCCTCCCCATCTTTCCTTCTTTCCCACCCCCTTTCCTTCTTGCTGGAATTGCGTTGGATTTCATGACTTTTCTGGGCCACATCGCCTGGGTTTGACCTCTGCTGAGGGCACTTACTATCTGTGTGCCCCTTCAAGGCAGTCACTTTTCCTTCCTGTGCCTCAGTTTCCTCAGGTGTAAAAAGAGGTAATAATAGTGCCAGCTTCGGGGGTGGTGTGCATGCTTTGAATTGGGCCAGGCACGTAGTAAGCGTGTGCCTGGCACACAGTACGTGTTTACGTCTACAAATGTGGTGGTCATCAAAATGATCTCCGTGGAGGGGCAGGAGGGAAGGGAAGTGCCCTGTCTTCTCCGTTTCTGTTTCGGTTTTGTTTTCTGGAGTCCCTGACCTCACTAAACTCTTGCCCTTCCTGCTCTTGAACAGGCCTGTGAATTCTGGAGCAGGTATGCAGAACAGCCCCGCACAGCACGACCCTCAAACCAGGCACAACGGGGTTGGAGTCCTGCTTGTGCCTCTTATAAACTCTGTGGTCTTGGGGAAGTCACGACACCTCTCTGAGGCTGGAGTCCTGAGTTTCCCCATCAGAATAAAAGGAGAAAGGTCATCTCAATCCTAGAGGGAAAATGGAAAAGTTCCCAGGGGTAGAAAGAACACCCTCCCCTCCCCCCCCAAAAAAAACTTGGAGACACGATACCAGCTTCATGTCCTAGCTCAGTCAAATGGTTATTATTAGTGATGCAGCAAGTCACTGAACTGCTGTTTCTCGGGGGCCATGAATTCACTCACATGCCCCGAGGCTGGACAAGTGACATAAATAGTGAAGCCCTGGGCTGGGAAGGTAAAGTGGAAGAAGTATTTCCATAGAGGCACGCAGGCCAGACCTTCTGATTATTTTTTAAAAAGAAGCTGGAAGCCATCTTTCATATAAACTTTCCCAGTCTGGGCACATGGCATTACTTTGAAGTTGAAGAACACTGTGGGCCAGCCAGGACATCTCTACAGGCCACTTCCACCATGGGCTGCCAACATAAATGCTGTTCCTGTTTTCTGGAAGCGGCTGTGACTTGAATTGGACAGAGGGAGTCGGAGTTGGAGGGCACGGAATTGGACTGCATTAAAAATCTGTCCTTCCCTCTCCATCCCTCTCTGCAAGCACTGAGGAGGTGGGGATGCGGCTGCAGGTGCTACAGAGCTTCACTAGGCGTCTGGAGGGAGTCTGTTACCCGGCCCAGGGCTGTGCAGGACAGGGATTGGAGGGGGGGAGGGCACCCAGGCCTCCAGGAGTTCTCAGGCCAATGGGAAGGGCATGGGGAAAGGGCTTGGGGTTGGGGCTAGAGGCTCTGTGCGGTGCACTCTCCAGGGCCCCTGCCTTCCGAGCTTCTTCCCAGTGGTGAGCCCTTGCTGGCTCCTTCCCAAAGCTGAAAATATCTGGGGCATCCTCCTAGAACAGTCAGCCATGTGACATCTTGTCCTCGTCACTTATATGGGCTGCTGAACCTCAAGGCACAGGATTTCTGTGAGAACTTCGTAAAACACGTACTATGTGCCAGGCACTCGCTAGATTTCACATACATCATCTCCTTTGTTCCTGTCAATGGGAGGTATTGTATTATAGAGTGATATTTGTTAAACAGTAGGTGTGATCTGAGTGCTAATTACATGCCCAGTGCTGTTCTAGCGCTTTACCCATGACAACTCGTAAGGCAGGTACAGTACTCTTCTCCCCACACTACAGATCAGGAAACTGAGGCACAGAGACGTGAAATGACCTCCCCAAACTCACAGGACTAGAAAGCAGCAGAGCTGGGTTGAAGCCAGGTAGCCTGGCTCTAACCCGCACGTGATTTGCAAAACGCTGAAGACGATACCTAGCATATAGCCCCCAATAAACGTCAGCTACTACTAATGTAATTCTCCCCATCTCGAGTCCCCGGCAAGGTCATTTCTCCCCCAGGGTCCTCCAGCCTGCGGGTGGCAACGTGGGGATTCAGTCTCAGGTGTGCCTGAGACTCGCTCAGGTGTTCCCACCCCTCTGAGCTGCCGAATCTTCCAGCTGCTCTCCCACATCCATCCCTGCACGCAGGGTCCAGCAGCCGTGGCTCAGAGGAGTCAGGGAGCCCCTTCTCCCGCCCCTTCTCGCAGCTTCACACTGAGCCTGCGGGACGAGGCTGCCCACGTGCCTGTGACGCTCAGGGCTTCCTTCGCAGACCGGACTCTGGCCTGGATCTCGCCCTGGGGGGGCAAGAAGCTGATCTCGGCCCCCTTCCTCTTCTACCCGCAGCGATTCTTCGAGGTCAGTCAGAGCCACGTGGCCTGGTCCCTCTGGGGCGGGGCACAGAGCTGCGCTCCGATGCGGAGACAGGGGTGCGTCCTGGGGGTGGGGAGGCAGAGGATGTGGGGCTGGGAAGCCAGGACCTGCCAGCAGGAGCAGACATCCACACCACGGCTCTCAACCGTCCGTGTGGCTGCCAGCGAGCCCACTCCCCAAACACGGATGTAATTAATCAGAGCAGACCCTGGTTATTTAAAAACAAAACAAAACAAAACAAAACACAAACACCCCTTCCCCTCCCCCCCCATGACTCCAAAGTGCAACCAGGGTTGAGAACTGGTGCTCAGGGAATGCAATGGCACAGATGGTGAAACTGAGGCCCAGGGCTGGGATGACCCTTATGGAAGGTCACAGCGGTCTGGTGACAAGGTGGGCGCCCAGTCCTGTTCTTTCCCACCACCGGGTGCCCCACGGTTCCGGTCTTTGTGACCCCCGAGTGGAGGGCTCGCTGGGTGGGGACGTCAGGCAGGCGGTGGAGGGTCCGTCTGTCCGGAAGCCTGCAGGCCCGGCCCGGCCTTTCCCAGGTGCTGCTCCTGTGCCAGGAGGGCGGGCTGAAGCTGGCGCTCAACGGGCTGGGCCTGGGAGCCACCAGCCTGCGCCAGCAGGCCCTGGAGCGGCTGCGGGAGCTCCGGATCAGTGGCAGCATCCAGCTCTACTGTGTCCACTACTGAGAAGTGAGCCGGAGACCCCGCCAGGGAAGGGAAGGGCCCGCCCATGGCCGGTGGCCCTCGGTGTGGCTCCACTCTCCTCCCTGCTTGAACCGCGTGCCGCCACCTGAGTCTGCAGGGGCTTCGGGCCCCACAGCAGAGGGAAGGCACCGGAGCGAGAAGGCTCCCCAAACTCCATGGCTCCCTCCACCAGGAGCCTGGGACTTGGCTCCCTCCTCCGGCAGGGCCCAGACAGGGGGCAGGTAGAGCAGCCTAACAAGGACACTCGAAGGTCCAGTGGCTGAGGGGCGCCTGGGGGGCTCCTTTGGTTAAGCATGCGACTCCTGATTTCAGCTCAGGTCAAGATCTCAAGGTCATGAAATGGAGCCCCGTGTCAGGCTCCGTGCTCAGCAGGGAGTCTGCTTGAGGTTCTCTCTCTTCCTCTCCCTCTGCCCCCACCCAATGCTCTCTCTCAAATAAATAAATAAAATCTTTAAAAAAAAAAGAATACAGTGGCTTAAAGAATTGAGACATGCAAAAAAAAAAAAGGGGGGGGTGCCTGGGTGGCTCAGTCGTTAAGCATCTGCCTTCAGCTCAGGTCATGATCCCAGGGTCCTGGGATCGAGCCCCACATCGGGCTCCCTGCTCAGCGGGAAGCCTGCTTCTCCCTCTCCCACTCCCCCCGCTTGTGTTCCCTCTCTCGCTGTGTCTCTCTCTGTCAAATAAATAAATAAAATCTTAAAAAAAAAAAAAAAAGAATTGAGACATGCATTTCCTTCTCATCTAACAGTTCTGGAGAAAATGGTCCCCAGTCAGTGGTGCAGCTCTGCTCCCCGTGGACCTTCAGGAGGGTCCCAGCCACAGCGCCCACATTCCCAGGGCATCGGCATCATCTGGGTGGCTGAGTCTCAGCAGCTACCATCCCTAGGTTTCGGTCACTGAGGAAGTAACTAGAGAATGTGGTTAAGGCCCACTTGCTTTCAGAACCCCCGGCCTGGGCTTGGCACACCCTGTGCACACTCCCATCTCCTCCACAAGCAGCAGGTCACGGGGCCATGCTGGGTGCAGGGAAGGCTGGAAATGTGCTCCAGCAGGATGGCCACGTGCCTGGCCATGGTTCATCCGCTGTGATTCCTAGTATGTGTGGATCTATTTATACCATCTTATTTTGTGTTTTCCACTTCCGGGGCTAGTTTTTCCCCTGTATTTTCAGCTTTCTTGCTTGCTACTGGATTGATGAAATCTTTATCACCCTCCCCGCCTTTTTTTTCTGTTATAGTGGTTTGGAAGTTTTAAACTGCATTTTATACTTCTAGTGAGTTTATTATTAATAATAATATTAATAATAATAATATTAATAAAATTGACTTTTAGGAATGGGTAAAATTCTGAGTTTTAATATATATGTGGATTTGTGTAACCACCACCATCACCATCAGGACATATAACAGCCCCATCACTCCAAAAAACTCTTGTGTCACTGCTCTGTAATATACCTCTTCCACCCCGTCCCTAACCCCAGCAACCAGAGGATCTGTTTCCCATTTCTACATTTTGTCTTTTAGAAAATGTCATATAAATGGAACATATAGTATCTGACCTATTTAATCTGGATTCTTTCATTCTTCATTATCCTTTAAAAAAAAATTAGGGGCGCCTGGGGGACTCAGTTTGTTAAGCATCTGCCTTCGGCTCAGGTCATGATCCCGGGGTCCTGAGATCGAGTCCCGCTTTGGGCTCCCTGCTCGGCAGGGAGTCCGTTTCTCCCTCTGCCCCTCCCCCCACTCATGCTCTCTCTGTCTCTCAAATAAATAAGTAAAATCTTAAAAAAAAAAAAAAAAAGAAAGAAAGAAAGAAAGAAAAAAGAAACTGTGATTAAATTGGGTATTAAGCCCCGGTTTGGGAACTCTGTCTAAGTGACACCACTGTGGTCCTTTTTTAACAACCTCAATAAACCCAACTTAAAAAAAATAGACTAGTCCGGAGGGGCGCCTAGCTGGCTCAGTCAGAAGAGCATACAACTCTTGATCTTGGGATCATGAGTTCGAACCCCACATTGGGTGTAGAGATTACTTAAATAAATAAACACTTAAAAAAAAAAGATTAGTCCGTGGAAAGTAAGAACATGATAGCCATTCAGAACTAGTTCAATTAATTAGTGTATGAAATGATTAGAGAAAGAACCTTGCTTTCATTACTTAGATATTAAAGACACTCTATTAAAAGGGACGGTGAAGCTGAAATACATTCGAAAGCAATCTCCTGGACCAAGACACAAACACTTTCAAAGTAAGATCACCTACTTCCACCTGCAACTACTCTCTGACTGCACATTCCAGACTTCTGGGGAATTCTTAAAACATGCTCGTTCCTGGTCCCCATCCCAGAGCCATGAAATCAGAATGTCTGGGTGTGGGGTCTGTGCATCAGAATATTTTAAGAGCTCCCAGGAGATTCTGACATGCAGCCAGGATTGAGAATGACTATTTCAGGCCTTGAAGACTCTGGAAATTTCCATACCCTTTGACATATGAAATTGCTCCAGGAAAGAAGACGCCTCAGGCAGGGCCAGCACAGCCCTTGATAGGGACTAGTGACCAGACCGCTGAGAGCTAGGCTTGAGGGATGGGACCCAGGCTATGGGAGGGCGGGGTAGAGGGGAGGATAAAGTAGCAATGCCAGAGAAGGTGGGGACACCCCAAATTAGGGAGGCAAGACCCTAGTACAAACCAAGAGCAGGAGGAAGAGTGGAGAAAGTGCCAGACTCAAGGTGATAGGACCTATGCTCATGAGGCTCAGGTAGACCCCGGGACCTCTCTGAGCTTCAGCTCTCTCCAGTGTAGAAGAGGGATGGTAAGTCATTGCTCTGATCACCCCAAAGGACTGTGAGGCTCATATGTAAGCAGCCCTGTCCATTTTCCATCACTCTCCCACACACTTCATTCGTGTAAAAACCCCTGTGATGCAGACAGGATAAGGAGAAAGCCAGGCAGACTGGCCCAGGAACTTATCAGAGGTCGCAGAGCTGAGCTGGGGGTGCCAAAGTCAGAATGAGCTCTCCCTGTCTCCTGGTCAGTGCAGGCTTTCGGGGCTCTCTGCTGACTATCCCCCTGAACATGCCCCTGAAGCATACAGAGGTCAAATCCCACTGCTCCACGAGCTTAGACGTCACGGCTTTGGGCCAATTCAGCATGCATGTTCGCATGGAAAGTTATGGGCAGTTACATCAACCCAGCGGGATGGTGGTGAGTTTATGAGTCAAAATTACTTAAAATGCCTCGTACTGAGTTGGAACTCAATGAATGGTGGCTCTTGCTGGAAATGTGAGAGATACTATGCTGCCCCCCATGTTGCCAGCGCCCCCTCCCCCAGCACGAGCAGAACCCTAGGAGATGGGGCCTCACACCCAAAGCGTCTCACCTGTGGGGACCGTATCTCAGATGGGTGATGAAGTGCTCACCATCGCTTTCCAGATGGGTGGATGCCCTCCATTCAACGATCTTCTTCACAGAACTGATGACCTCATCCACACGCCGGGCCTGTGTGGTAGTCGGGGGGTTTGTTGACCCGGTTGCTTTAGGATGTGAAGAACTTACTGGGAATCACAGACAGACACACTCTCGACTCCGGGGGGAATCGCTGTGGTGCCAGGAGTCGGAAGCAGGACTCACAAATTCTGAAGGGCCCGCTCTCTCCGTGGAGCCAGGCTGACACTGTGCGGACTGTTTTGCAAAGAAGTTCTGTTTGGGACCCATGCGAGGGCTTGCCAAAAAAAAATGCACTTCAATTGATGTACAACAAATGCCTGCCATCCTATAAAGAATAAGGTTCCAGAGTCTTTTATTTCCAAAAAATCCAAGGTGCTCAATAGGCAAGAACACTGTATTACGAGTCAGTAGGCACACACTCATGTGTCTAAACCCAAGGGCTGATGTTTAAGCAGAAGATCTTTCCCCGCTTGCAGGGGCCACATTCCCGTCTCCCATGTGGATAGCCCGGTGCTCATAGTCACTCCGAAAAATCTCAAGCAGGTCGCCGGGTCTGGCGTTTGGCCTGCTCCATCCGTGCACGGGGAGAGCAGCGAGGTGCGAGCACTTGTCACATGAGGTATGCCCGGCCCCACTGTCCCTCTCAGACGGCTCCCTTTGTGCAGATGCCAGACACTGGAGTCTGGGAAAAATGACCCGCTCTCCCACCCCTGAGTCATGGAAAAGGAGGGGGTGTCCCGGGAGTACACGTTCATTCAGATGTGTGTTCACACACATGTTCCTGTGTGTGGCCGTGTTTCTGCACGCATGTTGTCACGACACCATATGTCCCAGCATCTTCCCAACACGTCCCAGCACCACAGCCAGCCAAGACAACATTGGGAAGTCCATGCTGAGCCCCTTCCCTCCTTGCAGACTGACCACAAGCCAGCACCCCCTGCTCATGATGTCCATGACCATGTCGAGGCCCCTCCTTAGATCCTCTCCTGGCCTCGGGATGCCTTTCTGTCTTGGCTGATGTCCTGACAGCCAGCTTGGCCAGGGAGCAAGATCTCTAGGAAGAAGCATTATCCCGCCTTGTTCAGAGGCAGGAATCTGGGCTCCCGGAAGATGGTGATTTGCTCAAGGTCACTTGTGTGAAAAAGCTGAGCTGGGTCTCCCCTCTGCCCACATCTCCCACTAGTGGCCCCATGGCCCTGCCTTCCATACCCCTTTCCTTATTGTCAGTGTCCGACCCAGAACACCCCAGCTGCAAGGATCAATGCCTTTTCTGTTCCTCTTCTTCTGTGTTCCTGATCTGGAGAATGACATCCAGCACCCCAACCCCTCATTCCAGGCTACGCAATCCCAAAAGAGGGCCATCCTAAATCCACCATTTCCCTCACACGCCCCTTCCCTCGAACCCACCTCCACCTCCACCCCCGGCATCTGTGTTCAGCCACAAAGTCCAGTCAATGCTAACTCTAGAAGTTTCCCCTGAATTTTCCTCCTCATCCATTTCCTACCCTTCAACTTGGTTCAGGGCAGCCCCCGTCCCTGCCTCCGTGACCCCCACAGCCTCTTGACCAGCCTCCCTGGCCTCCTGTCCTTGCTACCCCACATCCAGTCTCCCCGAGACCCACTGTGGCCTTCCCAAAGGGCACATCTGGCCATGAACTTCCCCTGGCCTCAGGGCATAGGGCATGCACATTGGGCAGCTCACAGGCCCTCCAACCAGCCCTTCCTCAGCCCTCCTCACCCTCCCTGCCTTCTGGCCCCAGGCTGACTGGCTTGCCCTTCTCCTCACCACAGAGCTGGCCCCTGCCTCTGATCCTCTGCACATCTGGCTGTCTCGGTCACAATCACCTTCCCCACCTCTCCTTTCTTCTTCTCCCCCACACAGACATCCCTCTCTGAGCAGCTGCTCTCAGGGCCCCAGCCTGGCTCAGCTGCCACCTCCCTCTGCATGGATCCTGTCCTGCTGGGATTCCCCGTGTCTGTCTGCACCTCCCTGTGGGCTCTGAGCTCCACTGGGGCAGGATCCTGTGTGCTGCCCAGCTCCTTCCTCCTCGGGATCCGGTGAAGGGCCTGGCCTGGAATGGGGGCAGAGGACATCCACATGGAAGAGGGGCTGGAGGGTCAGCGGGGCCAGGACCCGGGGCCCAGCGACTCCCTTCTCTCTGCCAGGGTATGGCAAGCGTAGGGATGGTCTTCAGCGGTACACCACTGAACTGAAACCAAGCCTGCCTGCAACTTCGATGACACAATGGGTGGGGGGGGTGGCTGCTG